AGTTACTGACTTAACTCTAAAAAATGGGACATAAATGTGAAGACCGAGGGAAGATTCAAAAATGGAAACCAAAGCCCAACACCAGTTACTGACGTAACTCTCAAAACACATGATCTCCCTCATGAAATTCAAGTGCTTTCCCCTCTTATTGTGGTAACTCTTCTGACGGCCCTGCGAAACATTCATCTTTTCTTGGATCCTCTTGATCTTCTCAGTCGTCTCTTACACAATCTCAGGTCCGAGCACAACACTCTCACCTGACTCATACCAACACAAAGGAGTCCCACACCTCCTACCATACAAAGCCTCATACGGTGCCATTCCGATACTAGAATGGTAACTATTATCATAGGTAAACCCAACCAACGACAAATAACTATCCCACGATCCACCTTGATCCAATACACAAGCTCTCAACAAATCCTCTAAAGACTGGATAGTTCTTTCTGTCCGTCCATCCGTCTGCTGATGATAGGCAGAACTCAACCTCAACTTAGTACCCAAAGTTGTCTGCAAACTCTCCCAGAATGTCAACATAAATCTCGAATCTCTCTCAGACACAATACTCGAAGGAATACCATGCAACTTCACAATCTGCTCAATATATAATTCAGCAAGCTTCTGCAACGAATAATTGATCCTCATTGGTATAAAACGAGCCGATTTGGTCAATCTATCAACAATCACCCAAATTAAATCATATCCCTTCAAATTCTTCGACAAACCCGACACAAAATCCATGAAAATACTATCTGATTTCCACTCTGGAATATTCAACTATTGTATCAGACCCAACGGTCTCTGATGTTTAATCTTCGACTTTCGACAAGTCTAACCAGCATATACAAACTCAACCACTTCTCTCTTCATTTATGGCCACCAAAACAATTTCCTCAAATCTGGGTACCTCTTCATAGCACCGGGATGGATACCCAGTTTACTTCAATGTCCTTCTTCATGAATACTCTTATTCCACTCAACAATATCTGGAACACAAACTCTATCAAGACATCTCATGATACCATTTCCATTAATCCGAAAATCAGCTCTTCGACTTTAATCCATCAAATTCAATCAATCTACCAACTCAAACTAGATTTCTGACCTTCTCGAATCTCATCAAGAATACCACTAGTAAGGTCCAACATACTAAGCTTAACTCCATAAGAAGTCTCTTCACAAACCAAGCTCATATCACGAAATTGCTCAATCAGTTCTAACTCTTTTACCATCATCATCGGTATATGCGAAGATTTCTAAACCAATGCATCAGCTACCATGTCTGCTTTACCCGAATGGTAATTCAACCCAACACCATCATCCTTCAGAAGTCCCAATCATCTCTTTCTCCTCACAGTCAACTTATTCTGATCAAAGAAGTACTTCGAACTCTTACGATTACTACACATCTCAATTCTCGAACCAACAAATAAAGCTTCCAAAACTTCGACACACCCGCAACAACAATCAACTCGAAATCATGCGTCATATAATTCCTCTTATGTACTTTAAGTTACCTTAAAGCATAAGCTAAACTTGTTGATGTTGCATTAATACACCTCCCAATCCCATCAACGAAGCATCACAATATACCACAATGGTTTTGCCGGATTCGGCAAAATCAAACATGAGCTGTTGTCATTCTTCTCAAAAGCTCTTGCAACTTTTCTTCACACTTTGCATCCCAAAATAAAAGCTTGAACCTTCCTAGTCCACTGCGTCAATGGCAAAGATAACTTGGAAAAATCCTTCGATGAATTCCAATAACAATCTACCAACCCAAGAAAACTTCTAATCTCAAATACAGGTTTTTGGAGCTTCCCATTGCTATACAGCTCCAACCTTTGTCATATTAACCACAAACTTGCCCAAATAAGTATGGAAATCCTGTTCATATACTCCACAAATACACATGGTGCATTAGTCACCTCAAATGGCACTACAAAATACTCATCGTGTCCAACCTTGTTTTAAAAGCGGTCTCCTGAATATCTTCATCCTTCACACGAATCTGATGATACCTAGTTCTCAAATCTATCTTACTGGACACATTTGCAACAACCAACTGATCCATCAAATCATTAATCCTTGGAAGTGAATATTTATTCTCGATAGTCACCTTGTTCACTTATCTATAATCCACCCAAAGCCTCACAAAACCTTCTTTCTTCGTAATCAACAAAATTGGTGTACCCCACGGTGACACACTCGAACGAATGAATCTCTTCTCAAGCAAATCTTCAAGTTGACTCTTCAACTCGTTCAATCCCAATGCATCCACACTATATGGAGCCATCGATATCGGACTAGTTCCAGGAACTAAGTCGATCACCAACTCCACTTCATGTTCCGACGGTACATCACTTATCTCATCAGGAAAAACTTCCGGACAATAACAATTTATTGGCAAACCACCAACTTCCCCACTTTCATTAACACTCAAAGTTTTCATCAAAATAAACATCTCAACACCATCCTGCATCGACTTATCAAAACAATCTATAAGCACTTAGCTTAACTCAAAACAATTCACTGCACATGCCCTCTAAGCTTGCAAGACACGTCTATCCCCTCAAACATGACTTCGTTCACTATCAACAAGAGATTATGGGTGATCAGTTCCTCAAGTTGTCAATAGGCATTCGAAAATCATGATGGGGCATAACCCATCTTTACCAACTATAAGAGCGTTCACTGACACACTGAGTCACTACTCCACACTTGCAGCATCCTGGAGAAGCACAACTTCTTCCCCACTTGTTTCATTCCAACTTCTGCAGACAAAGGTTAGAAAACACACGTGTACTGACAGTGTTTTCACACACATGTCGCATACAAAGGAACAAACAACATTAGACAACTTGGTCGGACGGACCGACCTGCTCTGATACCACTAATGTAACACCCTTTTCTACCCCAAAATTATCATGGCAAAATAACACAAATGTCAGAGTAAATTATTAAATTTCATAAAAGCCACCAAAAGGGCGTACATTTCCCAATGTCATCAAAATAGGTCAATGCTTCGTATACAACGGGTTTTCTCAAAATACATCAAATTGCACAAAGTAGCGGAACTCAAAAGGTATAAATCAAGGTTTTCCTTCATCAGGGAAAATAAGCAAAATAACTCAACAATATATAGTTTAACTCAAGGAACCCAAACCAATGTCACATATCAGAGCAAGACCCTCTAAGTTAACCAAAAGGCTAATAACTCTAAAACTTCAAAAATATTCCTCGACGACATCCACGGCTAAACTTGGTCATCTGCACGTTACCCACGTGGAGGTAACATTCAAACAGGCAAGGTGAGTAAAACCATTCATAATAATCAATATATAACAAACAACATATAACATGGCATCATAATCATATTCAACACATTCATATTTCTCAATATGCCTCAAAGGCAACAACGTCATAATTCATACAAAAAGACCCATAAATGCAATGCAACAATACTCAATGCATGTGGTACCAATCATCATAGCTCGATGGACACTAGGCCATCAACCTTCCATAGATCCCCATCAATAGGATCGATTCTACTTGAGAACTGGAGCACATCAAAACATTCCACATCCACATAATGGGATTGAAGCCAAAATAATCGAGGTCCTGAACCGAAGTCCGGATGCACATGAATGCAGGATGCACACGTCACAAATCATCCTCATATAACAGCATAGGGGCATCATTATTCATCATATTCATCATTATCATATCTCATGTTATCACATAATTCATCAAAATCATGGTAATATCATTATAATACATCATAGAAATCGTCATGTCATCATGTACACATCATATAAAACTCATTGTCATACTCATGTTAATTCATCACAGAAATCACAGAATCAAACATCAAGGCATCGCTGCACATGATCAACATTCGTGAAACTCTGCTACATTCGCTGGCATGTTCGCTAGGCGAGTCTGGAGCGAGTTTCTTTGCTAGACGAAGCATTCTTTGCTAGGCGAGTCTGGGAACAACATGGTTCGCTAGGCGAACTGTGTGATGACAACAAATTTTGCTACGCACCAGAACCTGAAATCACTCAAAAAACTCTACGATTCACTTACCCAATGCCCCCAAAACATCCCTAAATCATCCCTAAGATCTTACGGCAATACAGGCATAAAACCTACGGTTTATTAGGCCAATCCCGCAACATATTCACGCCCTAAATCACAATTTTCCCTTCAATTACACCCTAAGGCATTAGAGTTACTCACTATTCAATATTCACCTTCAGGGTCAGACATATAACAATTCAAGGTTTTGGCCACGAAGGCCTAAGATTTCCTAATTCTCATATTTATGTCAAACAGTCAGGAATACCTACCACTAACCACAACCTTCAGGGTCACACTATCAATTTACCTATTTTCCCAAAATCAAACCCAAAATCCCTTAAACCTTAAATCAACCATAAACACATCGAAGGTTACACATAGAAAATTATGAAAAGGTATACTCGCCATATCTTAGTCGTCGATTCAAAGTCTTCACGATTATCTCCGGAAATCTTCTGCCTCCAATCTTCTCCTCAGAGCTCTGGCCATAAAACTTTTCACGGTTAAGACGAATGAATCCTAATTCCCTTCAGAATTCTATTTTGTCAAACCTAGTCTTGGGCCTCAAAATTGGGCTTTTCCCGTATACCTTTACTAACTCCTCATAATGCCCAAATTACCCTTATTTCACTTATATTCATTTTAATCAATAATAATATTAATATTCTCATATAGTATACTATTAATTAAATAAATAATATAGAAATGCACGATTTCTCAATAATTCACAAAACCACCGAAAACACCGAAATTGAATATTCTCAATTAAATAATTAATTAAAATATTCCAATTAAATCTGGGGTGTTACACCCGTCTCCAAGAACTAAAGCCTACTATTATCATCTTGATTAAAACTAGAGTTAAGGAATCTAAATCCAAGGCCATTTGAGAGAAGTTGAAGATTCATGATAATCACATGGACAACTACAAAGACCATACAAATGGTAGGATCTGGATTCATTGGGATAGTAACAAGGTGGATGTGAGATTTATCCAAAGTAGCAGCCAATTTATACATTGTGGTATGTATGATAACCTTGGAGTGTTCAAGCACTGGTTGACTGTTGTTTATGCTCATAACCAGTTAAACAAAAGGAAAATCCTTTGTAAAGAGATAAAATATCTGTATGGAAACATCCAAGGCCCTTGGTGTGTCATTGGAGACTACAACAATGTAACCAAAGCACAGGACATGATGGGAGGGAATTTGGTGACTGAAAAGGAATATGAATACCTGGTAAAAATGATGGAGAATACAGGTTTAAGTGAGATGGATAGCATTGCAGATTATTTCACCTGGTCCAATAAGCAAGAAGTTGGACCCATCTACTCAAGGATTAACAGAGTATTGGGCAATACTGAGTGGTTCCTCACCAATATGGAGACTATATTGAAAATTCTTCCACCAAATATTTCTAATCATGCCTTGCTATACTTGGATTGTAAAGAAGAGCAGAGGAAAACCTCCAGACATTTTAAGTTTAGCAACTGCCTTACTGAACTACCAGGTTATAATGCTTTGATCAAGAAGTATTGGGATGGTCATATTAGGGGTAGTCCAATGTATGTGCTTTGGCAAAAACTCAAGATATTGAAGTATGAGTTAAATTTTTTTAGCAAACCTCTTTCTGATGTTAAAAATAAATTGATATCAACTAGAACAAACCTCAAAGAAGTGCAAGAAAAGCTGAGTGATGACAGAATCAATAACACCTCGATTGGAAAGGCAAAAGAGCTGACTGAGGAAGTGGTATCTCTGAACGAGCTTGAAGGAAAGATATTGCAAAAAAGGGCAAAGATTGATTGAATTAGAAAAGGAGATGGAAATAATCAATATTTCTATGTTGCTATCAAAGCCAAACACCATTCCAACTGCCTTAATAATTTGAGGAAGAGTGATGGCAGGAAGATAACATCCAAAAGGACATTGGAGAGAAAGTGATGAATTTATATAGAGACTTGATGGGCAAAGATGTTAATAGTATTAACCATATTGATATTGAGGCCATGAGGATGGGTAAGCAACTTAACATGGATCATAGGGAATACCTCACCAGAAACATTTCAGAGGATGAGATTACCAAAGCTCTTAAAGGGATTGGAGACCTCAAAGCTCCAGGTCTGGATGGTTATGAAGCCAAATTTTTCAAGGCCAGCTGGACAACTATTAAGACTGATGCGATAGCAGCTGTTAAGGAATACTTTGAGACAAGTAAGATGTACAAAGCCTTCAATAATGTTGTAGTATCCCTGATTCCAAAAGGCAATAATGCTTGTGAGATTAAAGATTACAGACCTATAGTTTTATGCACCATGTTTTATAAGATCATCTCCAAGATCCTGACTGACGGACTAGGATCTGTTTTACCTAGTGTGATAAGTCACAATCAGACAGCTTTTGTGCCAGGCCAGAACATACATAACCACATCATGCTTGCTACTGAGCTTCTTAAAGGATACACCAGAAAAGGGGGCACACTTAGAATTATGATGCAAATAGATCTACAAAAAGCATATGATATGGTTAATTAGAAAACTTTGGAGTACATTATGAAGGAAACAGGCATTCCTAACAAGTTCATCCAATGGACTATGCTAGGCATCACCACTATATCCTACAGATTTAACATCATGGGGGAATACATTGATGTCTTGCAGGCCAAAAGGGGGATTCGGCAAGGTGATCCCGTATCACCTATGCTCTTTGTTCTTATAATGGAATACATGAATAGATTGTTGGTTAAAATGCAAAGGGGTCCTAATTTCAACTACCATGCCAAGTGTGAGAATATGAAAATTACCAACCTCACTTTTGTAGATGATGTACTGTTACTTTGTAAAGGAGACGAAACATCAATGCAAATGATATTAAAGACTTTCAGAAAATTCTCCAAATCCACAGGCTTGATGATGAACCCTAACAAGTGCAAGATCTATTTTAGGGGATTGGATACTGAGAATAAAAAGGCCTTGAAAGAACTGTCGGGTTTCCAAGAAGGGACACTACCATTCAAATACCTAGGAATCCCTCTTTCTAGCAAGAGATTAACCATCAACCATTTTATGCCCTTGGTGGATAAAATAGTGGCTATAATTCATCACTGGTCCTCTAGACTCCTAAGCTATGCAAGAAGAATTAAATTGGTGAAAAGTATTGCTTATGCAATGGTGCAGTACTGGATGCATTTCCTCCCCATGCCTAAATATGTGATTAAAAAAGTAGATTCAATCTGTCGAAGCATCACTTGGATAGGTAAGGATGCTGTGAGTAGAAAATGCCTTGTGGCTTGGAAAAACACTTGCTTCCCTACTGCGCAAGGTGGGATGAATTTACTGAACCTTCAGGTTGGAACAATGTGCTGCTTTTGAAATGTCTTTAGAACCTATGCAACAAAACTGACACACTATGGGTTAAATAGATCCATACTCATTACCTAAAAGGTAATAATGTGATGAATTATGTAACCAAAATACATAGTTCTTGGATCATGCGAGGTATCTTGAAACAAAGAGATAACCTGGAATTAATACGGGATGAATGGAACCAAGTTATGAACACGTACAAGTTTAAAGCTTCAGTGTTTTATAAGCTGCTAATTGATGATGGCACAAGGGTGAATTGGAGAAAGTTGATCAATTCCAACAAGGGACACCCGCGAGCAGTGCAGTGCTTATGGCAAGCTTTTTATCGGAAGCTTGCAACTAAAGAAAGGTTGAAACGATTTGGGATGATTGAAGATAACATATGCAGTTTGTGTCAATTTGAGGAAGAAACGATGAACCATTTGTTCTTCTACTGTCAAAGGACAAAGCATATATGGCAGGAAGTGCTCAAGTGGTTTAACATTCATCATGAACCTCAACAATGGGATGCAGAACTGATTTGGATTACTAGTATAACAAAAGGAAAAGGATGGAAAGTTAATATTTTGAAGATGTTAGTAGCTGAAACCATCTACAACATTTGGAGATACAGAAATAGTATAACATTTGGAAACATTGTAGATAATACAAACATGGTTACAAAAATCATAGATAATGTGATCTATAGAGGGTGACAAAACATTAGGATTAAAAAATATCTTGTTAGTTTTATGATGTAATTTGAGTCATTTTGGTGGGTTAGATCCTCCTTGGATAACCTAGCTTTGTATTTTGTGTTTTTTGAATTAATATATTCTTCCTTTGATTAAAAAAAATGAGAATATCAACTTGATCTTTTAGAGAGGATTAATCTGTTGACCAGAAAAATTTGATGTTTTCTTGAGTACTTAAACTATAAAACATTCACAATATGTACCAATAGGCACTAGAGTGTGTCACAATGATGTGAACCTAGATAATACTTCAACAATGCAATACCAATATTCTGAATGATTATTTTGTTAGATAGAATCTTCCATATTATTTTATCATACCATAGTATAATTTGTAGAACTTTTATTGGTTTCATAGATAAATAAAATAAATATAGATAGTTGTAATGTACTTGTAGAATTTTCAATTGATCAATACATAAGTGACTAACATTAATATAAACCAATGGATAACACTTAAATATAACAATTTATTTTTTTATTGCCTAACAGATAATATGTCGTTGTACATTTACCAAGAGATTTAGTACCTCATGGAAAAATAAACATAAAGAAAAAAATTAAAAGTGCTTATAACACAACAAAGAGCATAAAAAAGATCCAACCTAGAATCATTCAAGTCTTTTCCATCAAACCATTTCATGCCAAATCTTCCGCTAACTGAATTACACATAGTCACCAACGCAGAACTCAGAAACATTCCCATAGAGTTTGAACACCAAGACAATGAAGTACTAATACTTCTCATACTTTCAGGTGCTTCTGAGTAGAAAAATTCAAGCATTCCTCCCATTGTGAGTGTATCGGCTAGCCCTAATGAAATATATTGGAACAATAACCAAAACACAGAAAGTGCATGTCCTTTCTTGAATGCTTCAAGCCTGTTAAATTCAACGATGGAAGACACGAGCATTGCTATTGATACTAGTGCTAATCCCATTCCCATTCTAAATAGTGGTTGGTAGATTTTGTTGTTTGTTGTTGTGCCATTATTCTTGTGCATGCGTTTGAATTGTTCAAGTAAGATTATGAAAGTAAGTGATATAATAAGTGGAGGAAGTGCTAAAGATTGTGTAGGGATTATGAAACCGAATATCTTTCTATTCATGAGATTCCCTTGCTGTATTGAGAATGTTACAAGTTGTGCTAAACAACAGTTCATCATGATTGCTGTGAGAAATATTGGAAGAAGTCCTATGAAAGTTTTTGTCTCCTTAACTTGAGCAACACCAATGTTTTGATCCATCAATGCTTTGTTCAAAAACCTAAAAATAAAATAACTTTTATTCCATCAATAATATTTTTTAAATAACAATTTTATGAAAACTAAACATTGCATGCACTAAACTACACTAAAAGTATTTCGATTGTGTAATTATGAAGATGGTTTAAAACTAAAAATCTTACTTGAATTTATCATGGGATTGTTCCTTAATAAGTAATTGCTCTGTGACATCATGATTCAAGTTTCCAATAGTTGAGACCTTTGTATTTTTTATTGAAGCAACGAGTACCTTGAAACATAAAATATGAGTAATTTAATTTAGAGTGTAATGATAAACATAGACATCTTTTTTCACACCTACTTAACAATGTGTAAAAATGTGATTAATTCAGTTCACTATATTGCTTTAATTCGCATTACAAACTATGGTTAATTCATAAAGTTGAATTAACCACAATTTTAATTGCGAATTAAACTAACTATTTGTTCAACCAAATTAACCATATTTTTACATGCTTTAGAAATATGATTACCTGAATGATCCGAGTCATAGGACTTCCAGCAGGACGTTTATATCTATAGAATGAAAAACCAGACACAAAAATGCAGAATGCTAAACTTGAAAAGAAAATCATTATTATAAAACTTGTACTCCACCCATATTTTTGTTCAAGTGAAACCATAACACTTGATGCAAAAACACCTCCAATGCATATACTAAAAAAGTACCAACTGAAGTAAGAGGAAATAAGAGTCTTGTTGGTTTCATCAAGTTGATCAGCACCATGTACAGCCAAGGCAGATCTGATTCCACCAATTCCTATAGCTATACTGTAAAGTCCCATATAAAGATAAAGTGACTGCATATATGATGGTATTTTATTTTCTAATGGTTGCAAATTAGAGTTTTGTGTTTGATATGTTAACATGAGGAGTCCCTGCATTAAAAAATGGAGAGTATATAAAATTAAAATTTAATATTACATTATGATTTAAAACCTATGAAATGAGATTTTCATACCATAAGTTGTAAACCAGAAGAAAATACAAATATAGTGAATCTTGTTAAGTAAGAGTCACTAATAAACCCCCAAATAATGCTCAGTCCAAAAGCTGTTCCGATGAAGTTGGTAACCATATTTGAAGAATCAGCAGCTGAATAATGCATTGACTTGAAAAAATAATCAACCAAGGTTTGTGCATTGCTATTGATGATCGAGCTCTGCATTATCTCTACAACTGCACTCATATAAATGTCCAATTTCTTTGTTAATATATTTATACTTGTTTGTCACTAACTCTTACTAAATTGTATAATTTATTTAATCTAGTTTAACTAGTGGTTGAATTTGGAGAAAGTATATGTAACTTTTTCTAGATTACTTTTTAAATTTTTTTACAACTTTTTATATTAATAAAATAAATATTTTTACAACTATCTACAAGATAAGATATAATTAAATAAAAGTTGAAAGTAAAATGGACATAAAAAAGAGTATAAAATGGATCCCATCAAATTGCCTAAAAAATTAGTGTAGAATTTAAAACAAATTTTTATTTTTAATATCAACTTTTTGAATTATAAAAATAATGATATAACATATTTTTTAAATAATATAATATACAATATAATTATTTGAAAAGATCAACACTCATAAAATTACAAAAAGAAATTCGGAAAATTTCATTTTCAACTTTATAAATGATTTATTAATATAATTTACTATATAATATGTACCAAGTAACCCATCTGAATGATTATTTAACATCAAACTATATAAAAAACAGTTTGGCAATCAAATAAAAAAAAAGAAATCAAAATTATATCAAAACTTTAAATCAATAAAATTTGTCTTACCACATGCAATGAAAGCAGCTATTATTCCACCATGCTTCTTTCGATCTGCTGTCCTGCCTCTGTAATCAGTATAATTACCACTTTCAATTTTGCTAGCCTCTGGATCCTATAAATATTTGAAATTATGTCAAAGAAAAAGCTACAAATTTCATAAAATAAAGGATGAGTTACAATTACCTATAGAATAAAATTTGAAAACCAAATAAAAGTTGAAAACATACCATGGATAAATGAAAGATTATAGTTATTGTACTCAGTATGTATTTTGTTATAAAGAGATAATATAGATTAATGCCTTGCAAAAGGATGAGTTTAAATAAGACAAAAAAAACAGCATAGCAAAAAAGTTCATTGTATAAGTAACAATTAATTACTCTCTTTTTTAAAAGTACTTTTTAACTTTAAAAGTTCATGAATCATAATTTTGATGTAAATAATGTATTTTTATTTAAAAAGATTAATTTGTTTAATTAATTATTTTATGTTATAATATATATATATATATATATATATATATATATATATATATATATATATATATATATATATATATATATATATATATATATATATATATATATATATATATATATATATATATATATATATATATATATATATATATATATATATATATATATATATATATATTTTGTTATAAAGAGATAATATAGATTAATGCCTTGCAAAAGGATGAGTTTAAATAAGACAAAAAAACAGCGTAGCAAAAACAATTCATTGTATGAGTTACAATTAATTACTCTCTTTTTTAAAAGTGCTTTTTAACTTTAAAAATTCATGAATCATAATTTTGATATAAATAATATATTTTTATTTAAAAAGATTTTAACAAATTAATTATTTTACGTTATAATATATATATATATATATATATATATATATATATATATATATATATATATATATATATATATATATATATATATATATATATATATATATATATATATATATATATATATATATATATATATATATATATATATTCCCTTATTTGACCCTTACTTAGATGTTAAAAAAAGTGATAAATAAAAGTAAGAAAACAATAGTTTCACCAAATTAGTTTTATTAATGTATAGGGAAGTTTATCTCTTGTTTGTAAAATTTTGGGTTGAAATCCCCCTTAAATCCTTCTTTTTAATATATTCTAGATTATAAAAAAAATATT